TAGTATTGACAATATCTCCGTCGAGTTCGAAGGTGAGAAGGATCGGCCGAGTCGTTCCTGAGTTATTTCAAAAATACCCATTTTTCTCTATAGCTTTCTGTGGAAAAATCGACCCATCGTCGCTTTCGTAAAAGACTTTTCCTATCATAGTCAAATAAAACCCCAATTATTATATACCATTCGATAGAGAATTTCAAGAGCTACAAAATCATATATAAAGCATAGAGAAACAAGAAGGTTGACTCACCTATGACAAGGATAATTAAAGAGAACTAGGTTATATTTTGGTCCACGATTTAATTGATCCACAAATCGAGCTCTAGCTTCCGATCACACTGATGATACTTCGAGGTTTTCAGATATGGAGAACTCGAATGTGTACTGCACTTCTATCGAAATACTATTAGTTGTGCAGTGACCAATAGAAATGAAGTTATAGGAAAAACGACTTTCTTAGGGTAAATCAAGGGAAAGAGTTCAAACTTGAGCTGTATTTGGCCCATGTCCTATTGGTTTGGCAACGCGTAATAGAAATCAACATTTTAAATGGCAGATTTCACAGTATAATTTTGATATTCAGACAGTCTAGGATGATTGATTTGTATGATTCACTTTTTGAAGTACACATAACTCTCGGATTTAAATCCGAAGTTTCCGCATTTATTTCATATGATATTTGTTTTCTTTTTCACAGAACAGACAATTAACTCCAACAGACTTAATGTACATTACTCTTGAGAAATTATACAAGTCTTTTGGGAAGAAATGAATACTTTAAACACGTACAGGTAGTCTCAAAAAAGTTGCTAAAAGTAATGGTACATGTGAAATTTATTATGTCTCACTTAAGTTATAGTAGTTTGAGACAGTTATGTAAAGACTTTCACATTTACCTAAAAATGTACTGTGTCCATCATCATATCATTTTTTTTTCAACGATGATGTATCTATTGATAATCGAATCAAATATTAATTTAATGAATGTGTATTTATTTTATGAAATTTAGATTGGCAAGAAAAATTGGCAATGAATGAATAGTACTGCTATGTCAAGAAGAGATGAATACAGAAAACAACATTAGGAAGTATGATATCAATATCGGTTCAATGGTTTTTGCAGTTAAACAAACAAAGGATGTAAAATAAGTTTTGATCCTCTCAAAAAATACACTTCTTTGATATCTTCCAAAAGTATAAGAGATTAATATTTACGGTATAAATATTAGATGTCTATATCCATTATATGCCAGAGTTTCTACTTTCTACTTATTATTGTTATGGAGATAAAAGTAAAGTAAAATGTATAAAATATTTGTGAATCATTTCTAAAAATAATTGTTTGCCATAAAGAATTATAGTGTTAGTATTTTCAAATTTTGTCTTGTTTTATGCACTTATTCAACATACATATTTTAACGAAAAGATTGAATGTGAAATGTTCTTCAAATCCTTATATAATTTACTTTGAAACTCGTGTTAAATGCATGACGAAAGCGATGAGAAGGAAAAATATTCAAACACATGTCAAAAATAAGTACGAATACGGCAATGCAAACGACGAAAGGCTGATATGAAATGTGCTGTGAAAGAGTAGGTTTTACTGACGATTTGTTTCCTTCGAGGAATTATAATTACGAAAATACGTACAGTTTAATCTTGACACACTTGTGTCGTTTCATCGCCGCATTCGTACTTTTTTTTAAATATTTGTTTGAATTTTTTTTCTCTGTATCGCTTTTGTTATACATTTAACATGAGTTTCAAAATAAATTATATAAGGATTTGAAGAACATTTCACGCTCAATCTTTTCGTTAAAATATGTATGTTGAATAAGTGAACAAAACAAGAGAAAATTTGAAAATATTAACACCATAATTCTTCATGGCCAACCACTATTTCTAGAAATGATTCACAAATATTTTGTACGTTTTACTTTATTTGTATCTCCATAACAATAATAAGTAGCAAGCTAAAATTCTAGCATAGAGTAGATGCAGAGATCTAGTATTTATACCGTAAATATTAATCTCTTCTACTTTTGAAACATATCAGAGAAGTGTATTATTTGAGAGGATCAAAACTATTTATTTGATTTCAAGAATGGCTAAATGAAATTAACTAAGCAAGATTGCTAACTATTTCATGCAATAACTTGTTTATTTGATACAAATGGGTTATGAATTCAATTCATTGAACAATCTGAAGAACAGAATGATATAAAACTAAGATTTCAATTAATTTATCAAACATTGAATCTATAAGACAATTCACAAAATCTATTGTACGACCAATTTTCTCTTGCTAATGATGATCGTATTCAACGTAGCATGATCATCTTCTTATAAATCTTCAATCCGCTACAACATAATCTTAAATTTGATATTTATTGTTGCATGAATCATTATCAGATCATAAAAAAACAAATTACAACTAACCAAACAATAAAATGATGATGAAAAAGGAACAAATAAACTAACGTTGTTAGAAAGAAAGAAGCCAAACGTAGAACAAGAAAGCAAACGAAAGCATGATAGTTGTGATTTTTATAGGTGTAATTCTCATTCATTGCATGCTAATGAAGAAAAGAAAATCAAACATGTATTGGTTGTTTAGAAGATTTTTAAATGGTTATGTTTTTTCTTAATATTTGTTGATCTTCGTACAATCTGAGAAGCTGAACAGCTGTTTTGACGAGATGAAGAAGATTACCTTATGGAATAGGTTTAAATCATGCTGATTTTTCATATATATATTTATTTCTTGATTCATCCACTTCATTAATTTTCTAGAGGAATTCTTTAAGTTTAGAAAAAGGAGAAAACCTTCCTATCAAGACTAAAATGCTTAAATTGAATTAATAAATAACATAAAATAAAGAAAAAAAAAATTAAGCACTAACACATACTGTTGATAAAATTTTCACAATAGTGACTCTTACCTGATGCTTATATATCCGAACCTATTCACTTTTCTATGCTGCTCGATAATGACACACTGTTTACCATCTCTTCTAGTTTATCTCTTTGTGCTATAGCCTTTACTTTTATTTATTAGTCTATATACAGGGTGGCTCATAAATAAGAAAACGGAGAAAAAACTGAGTCTCTCCATTGTGGCTTGAGTAAACAAGCTGATTTTTCTACCACTAATAAAGGCATTTAGAAGCCTTGTATCCATAAAGGCAAGCTTAGAGATACCCTTTGTTAAGTATCACCAGTGATCTCAACAAAAAAGTTTTACTTTTTCACAGATAGGAGAAAAAAAACAATATACATGGTGCCTTAAAAGTCACTTCACCGAAAAAGAAAATTGAATATCTCCATTACGGCTCAAGCAAATGATCTGATCTTTTATCAGTGATAGAGACATGTTCAAACTTTATATACATAAAGACATGCCTACAGAGACCATTTGTTAAGTAAATTGTTTTTTCTCCTATCTGTGAAAAAGTAAAATTTTTCTGTTGAGATCACTGGTGATACTAACCAAAGGGTATCTCTAAGCTTGTGCTTATGGATACAAAGCTTCTGCATGCCTTTATTAATGGTAAAAAAATCAGCTCGTTTACTCAAGTCGTTATGGAGATATTCAATTTTTTTTCTGTTTCCTTATTTATGGGTCACCCTGTATAATTAATTATACTCCTACTCTCAAGATTTTTACCGCATACTTTTATCCTTGATTGTGTATATTCTGATGCAATTAAATATTTTCCTACCATACAACTAATACTCAACATCATCTATGTCATACCTATGCTATCGACTTATGACTATACTTTATCTAAGGTATCGTATCTGATATTTAGATTCTTCATTTGATGTTCATGCTCTATACGTATTTATTTTAGTCAGCGTCATCTACTGTACCGCTCTCACACATATCTTTCCTCTTTCAGCATACATTTAGTATAGTTTTAAATTAGTAAAATCGTGTATTAACTAAGACCAATGTCATGGCTTACTGTTACACATGTGCTCTTGAAATTCTACAATATATGTATGAAGACGTAAAACAGATACTGAAGAGAACTATACAAACAGCGAGGTAGAAATTGATCAAACAAATCCGCCAGAAATGAAATCTATGCCTAGATTGAACATATTGTTTCTTTCTTTCACTGTTACAATCGTGCTCATCCACTAACACTGTACATCTTCAAAGTTGAATATACGAGTACCATATTCTATCGTGCATAATGGTATGCGGCATAAATGAAGCAGAAGCGTCTATCTTTCTATTACCCATGCCGACAAATACAGTATTCGTACATGTTCGTAAGTAACTGTATACATTCCTTCTTTCCGTGTAAACGATTGCATATTGCTATATTATATGGTTCATTATTGCTTGGATGCGATTGTGAAGTGACAGCAGGTGTACATGCGCGTGACGACGAGAGTCTCACTGACAACCATACCCATGCTCCACCTCAGACCTCGACCAAATGCACCTATAGCAACACATACATTGACATCTACTTCAGAGCTAGACCTAACAAACCCGCAACTACACACTCACACCCACATTCATACCCGTATTCCTCATGATTTTTTTGCAAGAGTTTTCATTGCACAACATAAGTAATATTTTCAAAAAATTTATTCGACCACTGTTAGTTTTATTATTCACGAGTTTTGGGAAGATGAATGAGTAAATATGGTTTATTTTTGACTTTTGTTTGTTGCAAAACTCAAAACAAAGTAAAAAAACGCAGTAGAAAAAAGAAACTTATCATTTCTTTTTTTCTTCGGCGAAAACAAGACAACAGAACACTTTACTTTTATTTACATCGTTTTTATTTTCAGCGATAACAAGGTTTGCATGGCTTTTTTTCTTCGCTTAATAAGTAAAAGAAAATAAGAAAAGACATGCACGATTGCAGTCTAACGCTGATGTACTGCATTCAACGTAGGTGTTACAAAGACAGAACAGAATAAAAACATTATTTCAGTCACGTTTTATTTTGTTCGATGTTGGAAGAAAACTAAAAAGTGACATGGCGACGTCTGGTAGAACACACGGCGATATTACTAATGCTCCAAAATCTTCCAATAATGGACTCGTACTTATTTGGTTGGATGATTCTGCTGAAGAAGATCCAAGTGTCAAAGGAATTCTATCTTCTCTTTTCGACAATGTATTGACTTTTTCTGATCCTGAAGCATGTCTTGAATTAATTGAATCAAATGAAATTAAAACATCTTGTTTATCTATTTTGATCTCTGGTAAATATGGTCAAATGCTTGTTCGTGATCATTTACAACCATTAAATCAAGTCAAATATATATATGTCTTTTGTTTTGATACTGTAAAACATAGTCGATGGGCGCAAACATGTGATAAAGTTCGGTGTGTTTTTTCGGATATTAATAAAATTCTTCAATGTATGCAATATGACATACAAAGCAGTATTGAACAGCAACACACAGATGATGAACAAGAACAAGAACAAGAACAAGAACAGCAACAAGAACAGCAACAAGAACAACAACAACAACAACACCAAGAAGAACCAAAACAACAACGAGAACGATATGCAGATGACAATAATTTACTTGATCAACTTGCACTTAATCTTTTACTTCAAAGTCCAGATGATGGAGCCGAAGATTTTGCTGATTATTGTCGAACACATAATCAAAATAATAATCCAGATCATCATGATGTTGATGAAGAACATCCAGAAGAACAAGAAGAACAAGAAGAACAATATTATAATCCGGAACAAGCCATTGAAGAATGGTATCAACCAAATTTATTTTTTACTAATATAAATTCCAATGATTTAACTAAATTATGGACACTTCGTTGGTTTATACGATCATTTCATCGACAATTAACTAATGAACAAGAAAAATTTATTAAAGATAAAACAAAATTTACTGTTAATCATGGTACATCGTTAAGTACAGATGAACTTGATGCAATGAAACATCGTATCGGTCAAATAATTGTTTTTACTGAATTACTAATGACATATACAAATCGACAAATAGCATTAGATTCTATGCCAAATGATGAAAAAAATAATAAATATAAAGTTCTATTCGAAATTAATATTGATCCAACTAATCGTAATACTATACCATATGCTGAAATAAAAAAAGAACAAGTTTTATTATGGTTTGGAGCTCGATATCGTTTAACTAAAATCGAATATGTTGAACAACAAGATGAAGAACACGATGCATATTGGTTAATTGGTTTAAATTTACATTCAACACTTAATTCAAAACCTTCTATTCAAAATTTATATCAATATTATCATAAAGAAATAACAGAATTAAATAATATTCATCATGCATTTGGTCGTATACTTATGTATAAAGGTTTGTATGCTCAAGCAGAAAAATGGTTACAAATAGGTAATCATTATCAAGAATTAACTGAATTAGCTATACGTCAAGGTCATTATGAACAAGCTAAACAATATCTTGAACATTTACCGGAAGAGTCGTATGATGTTAATTTATTGCATGTTTATTTAAATATTTTAACATCGAATGATAATTTTGCTAAAGCACGTTTTACTTTAATGAAAATTATTTCTGAAGCAACAGATAAATTTATACGAGCACAAGCTAATATTGTTCTTGGTTTTATTAGTTTAATTATAACACAACAATTTGATCTTGCATTTGATCATTTTACAATAGCTAATGATATTCTACGTAAAATTTTACCAGATATTCATCCAACTATTGCTAAATCATATATTGGAATAGGTTATACATATTATATACAACATAAAATAGCTGATGCAAGAAAATGTTTTCAAATGGCTTTAAATATTCAAAAACAATCATTAACATATAGTCATCCAGATTTTGCTAAAACACGAAATGGTATTGCTCATTGTTATTCCGGTGATAAACAAACACTTAAACAAGCATTGAATGAATTTGAATATGCACTTCATATTTTATTAGATATATTTCGACACGAACATCAACATCATCCAGAAATATTAGCAACTAAGAATGATATTGAAAAGTTAAGAAAAGGAAAAGAATTACGTTCACGCAATATCTTACTTGACTACATATAATTTTGTTTATCCGAATTATCAATTTTTTTTTCTAAAGTTTTATATTATATGACAAACTTACTCTTGAAATTTAGTCATTAATAAACGGATGTTTGTAGACATTCGCCTAACATGCTAATCCTTCATTGAATTATGCAGATGAAAACAAAATTTTATAAGATATTATATATACAATGATTCTCTATGTATTCTTTCAGTTTAGATTAACAAAAAATGTTTAAAAGACTCAAATATACGAGAAAGAACTGAATAATACTCATAATACAAAACTCTATAATAGATGATTAGTTGGTCTCGAAAGAAAGCTAAATCCATGGTTATAAATCGTAGAAAAATCTTTTGTAATAACTGTACATATATGAATGCTTCAATAACAAAAGTATTTTCATTTTTATAGATACTTGTCACTAGTGTCTTGAATGAATAACTTTTCTCGATTCCTGCTTCCCGTTCCTCTAAGGCTTTCAGAATTCCTATTACGTTTTCATTCTTGAGGGTGTGGGTGTGAGTGTGGGTGTGGGTGGGTGAGTGTGGATGTGACTGTGGGTGGATGGGGCTGTGGATGTGTGGCTGGGTGTGGATGCGTCTGTTGGTAGGTGTGGGTGCAGATCTTGTATTGTGCATTACCCACAACCACATATTGCTATTTCTGTCTCTCACTTTCTTTTTATCTGATTTGCATCGTTTTCTTCATTTTTTTATTGCTTGTCTTATCGATGACTCAATAGACTAGTCATGATTATTATTCACTTTCTTTTTTCTGCGATGGTACCAGACAAGTATGAATGCAACAAATCTTGAATAGATTTAGGATTTGGTACCAAATCTTTGAAATTTTGGACTTGGATGTGGATTTGGTTTCTGGGTTTGTGTATGGTTCAGATTTAGTTCATAGATGTGGATTTCATTTAGATTTGGATCTCAAGATTGCTGCTATTGCTTTGTTCGGCTTATATTTGAGATTCAGGATTGGTGAGATGCTTGGATTTGGGGAGACTTGGATTTGGGTTTGGGTCTTAGATTTGGATTTGGACTTGGGATGTGGTTTTAAACTACCATGGACTCCAACTTTGTAGTCCTGTTACATTGAAACCAAATCTCAACCTCCAAATCTAAATCCCAAATCTATACTAAATCCAGACCATTTCATATCAATTTATAAGCCTTGAGATTCTTTTCTTCCTTCTGCGACTTTATCTAACAAAGCCTTATCATATTTGGGTAATTGAAGATCAAGCCCAAATCCCAATCCAGAACAAACTCAAATCTTTTTGTACCAAATCCCAAGGTCTTGGGCTCGTTGCACTTCTACAGACAAGAAATTAGTCACATCTATTTTCTGTCTATATGATAGAGAAAAAAATGAAAAGAATCCAGCATCACCAGTCAAACGACTACAATTATAGCTTTTTCTTTCTCTTTTTGTTTCGCTTTGTTCAACTATACAAATAGAGCGAAAGCAATGACGCTGTGTTGAACAAAACAACTGCGAAAAGTTAGCATGCATTATATAGACACTTCTCAATATTGATTTTATTTCAAATAGACATAAATAATATACATTAATTTGTGTTTCATTTCTAATCTCTTACAAAAATTGATTTGTCGATGAAAAATCAAAATGTACAAATGTATGGGTGGTACTCTCAATATGTTTATCACATTTATATTCTACTGTGCTTTGATAAGTATCGGAGCAAACTGTTCTTTATTACAATACATGCTTACAGATCCATTGTGTGATAATGCAAAGGTTCTCTGGTATTGGCTTTATTATGTTATAAGTAAGTATTCATCAACTATAGACTATTTATATCTCGCTACACTTTGCATAGATGATCCAACGTGTTACTATTATACTTCTGAAAATGATACAATGAATTCGATCCTACTGTATCTGCTTACATGCCTGTGTATTTTTATCTACCGTTTTACTTTATTTTCTTCAACGACAGCCGAATATTCTAGTCCCTTTGTTACTAATTGTTATGACTAATTGGCTTTTGACTCTCTATTATAATAGTACTCACATATATTATGAATTAGACGTATTTACCGCCTATTTCGTTTTTTGGCAATTCGTTTTTTCTTATTCATAAATGACTCCATCAGGATCTACCATATCTTTCTTTTCCTCTTTGTCAAAAAGCATCCAGTTTATATACGGCATTCTTAGCATTTATACTGTACAATGTATTCCTACAATGCTTACCCACTTTGTTTTAATTTCGTTGTCATTTGGCTAACGTCTGCTATAGGCATGTAAGTCTGTATAAGTGATTTTTGGATCTTTGATAGTCAAACACTTATTTTACAATAACATGATCCTTGAAATTTACGCAGACATTGTTAGTAGTAATCAGAGCTGTGAATAGGCCACTTATTTATGACCTGCCCTGATCTGCTTGTCGCCTAGTCTGGCTTGATCTAACAAGGAAACTCTCTCAACTGATGACATCCGTTCAAATTCATATTTTGCTCATAGATAAAACATATAGCGTACATAGAAATTCTAGAATTGTTCGTGTCATTGTCATTCTATTTCAGAGAAAAAAATGTAACATGTTTTCATAGTAATACCGTTGTCAAATGTTTCCTATTAATTTTGTTGTTTGTATATCTTAATATCAGAGGAATTCTACGAGTTGGAACTTTTTAAAAGAACTTATCATCTATTCGTCCACGGTCTGTAGAAATATTAGTTATAGTAAAACTAATATTCTACTGATGGAAATGAGAAGCTTTTCTGATTAATTATTTTATTATCACTGATACTAATCTGGTACATTTTTGAACAGGAATACTCATGTCTAGAGTTCGTTTTTTCTTTAGCCCATCTACGTCATCTTTGAAAGTATTAAATGAATCACAAAATAAGAGAGGATACAAGTGATCGTATCTTGATACGTAATAGAAACCAATAACGTTCGTCAACTCGTTTTATTTTCGTTTTCTACACGACTTATTTTATTCTTTCTTGAATAGAAAATAGATCATAGTTTTTAATACTTGTCTACAATTCATCTTGATTATACGCGAACTATGATAGATAGAGAGCTTTGAATATGTAAAAATCAGAAAATCTCATTATGACTAATATTTCTACACACTCTAGGTATATAAATGATGAGTTTAAAAAAGTCTAACTTGTGGAATTACTCCTATATTAAGATATAAAAACTACAAAATTAATAGAAAACATATGACAATGCCATTAGTATCAAAACATATTACCCTTGTTTCTCTGAAATAGAGTGGCCATTGCACAAACCTTCTAGAGTTTTTATGTACGCTATATGTTCTATCTATGAGCAAAATATGAGCTTGAACGAATGTTATCAGTTGAGAGAGTTTCCTCGTGAAAGAGAAACAAATTAAGGCCAAGAAAAAGATTAGTTTGCCAGCGGCCTAACCTACAAGCTTCGAGAAGGCCAACTAGATTTATTGAATTTTTTAAATAGTTTTGTGGACATAATTTCGCAATACACATTAGATATTTTTCTTATTTCCTCACGCTAGTCTCGATTGTGTATTCAGATGATAAAATTACAAATGCTTCTATAAAATAGTAAATAAAAACATAGAGAACTACACAAAATAATATGACTGTATCTATGAAAAGCACTACTTTCAAATCAATTTTAATTCTATCAACACTAGGAATGAATTATTTAATGTAAACTAAAATTAAGTTAAGTTTTACTACTTAACATATAATATTAAGTTAAAGTTTTTCAATTTAATACTTAATTCTACTTAAAGTTAATTTGAAGTTATTGAATTATGTATTTTCGACTGGTGCAAATCATTTCTTGATGTTATTCTAGAATAAACAAATTGATTGTTTGATTTAATAGATTTCTTTGAGAAAAAAAAGATTATTGACTTGATTTTGATATCTTTTAAATGCATCCGTTCATTCCTTGTGATTTGTACAAATTAGATTTTTGTATTTCTTTTGCTTTTGAATATAGTTTCCTATGCTTGCATCTAAAATCGCATGTGGGTGATTCAATAGAGAAAGCATAGATGAAAACTTTTGCATTTAATTATGTAACGGTTGTTCTAGGTTATTATTGCGTATATGATATCAATGAACTAAGCGATGATATAAAAAACGAAAACGAATGTTTTTCAATGATTGGATTAGGTGACTTTTTTTCTTCGATCTTCTTCTATTATTCGTTATGCCTATCAATTGTTCGATTAAAACAACATCATATATAGCATTCGGTTGCATAATTATCGTACAACTTATTGATCTATGCGTCATTTTCATGTTTCGCTATGGTGATTTTAAAGTTTTACTAGCTTTGCCTTTTCCAACGATTACTATAACTGCTTATGCTATTGTCGTTGATTCCGTCATTCAATATTCAACTTTTGGCTGTGAAGATCCGTTGAAATGAAGGAAAAAATTTCATTATAACTTCTAATACTTTAAACCGATTGATGTATTAAATTGTTTTCTTTGCAATTTATCGTTAAAAATAAGAACTCCATGATTTTTCATATTATTATGATTTATACAAAGAAGAAAAACCTTAATTTTTAATTGATAATGATTGCTTTCGAATGCTTCTAGTTTTTTTTCGTTGTTATATGATAGAGTCAGATTAGTTGCTTTGGATGATTTTCTTTTTAGAGTTTTTGTCATTCGATACAAAGACTGGTATTTTTGCCAGTAAATTGATCATATTTAAAGAAGGATTATTACCATTTCTACTGGATATTTAATCTGCTCCCAAAACACAACTAACTTTTTAATCAAGATACACTTGTTTTCGTTAGGTAGTAAAGAACAATAGAAACCATTAAAATGAATTTTTTCGAAGTCTTGTTTAAAGAAATATTACAGTTTTATAGTGTTGTCAGTAAAAGGCAGTTATTTCATCTCAAATTTAGTTTGAGATGGATTTTCAAATTTAAAACAAAAACCATTTCTATATCAACAAATATTGATAATACTGCATTATAAAAAAGAAAAGAGTTATTACTGT